CCGGCGGCGCGCGCACGTCTTCAGCGCCCGGGGCAAGGCGACTCGGGCGAGCCGCACGTGCACCGCCAGGGCTACGTGGACAAAGCGAGTTCCCGCTGCCGCTCATTCCACAGACGCTCCATCAGCGTTCGAAGCAAACCATACTCCATGATTCTTTGCTGTCCGAGATGAGCCGATGGAGCTGACGTTTGGCTATCATGTTGTGCCCTTCTTCTGAGCTACACTGCTGAGATATGAAGGCCGAAATGCCAGCTGCACCGACTGAGACGCGACTCTATCCTATAAACCATCCTCGCCCATTGCCTGTCCAACAAATTCATCATAGCTTTGGAAGAAAAAAGCTCAGTGACGGAGGATCATCACAAATATTAATCACACACACACAACTCCATCCTCTTCAACACAAAATAAAATTGTCATCTCCAGTTATGACGTACAATATCTCGAGACATTCTACCACATCACTAGCGTCATCGCTGTGACCATCAATGGCACTGGCGCTCCCGTCGCCGCGACTGGCTTCGCCTCGCACGCGATGCATCTGCTCACACGCGCGAACGCGTCGGGCTATGAAAGAAGCCGGAACTAATTAGCACAACACTCGCGCCATTATGCGGCCGCTTATGTCTTTATCCATCTTGGAGGACGGGTATTAATGGGAACAGCTCGCGCCCGAAAACCGACAACCTCGGAGAGGCATTCATGCGTAGAAAACAGGATAATGAGAAGACGAGGAGCCGAGTCTCGGAAACCTCTGCGCGCAGGTTCCTCAGACTAAGGTTCCCAGGGTCGTGTGCATACTCTTACACAACGTACCATTAAAGAGAACAGACCAAGCACTCGCTCGAAACTGATGTTCAACGAGGAAGTTTTTGTACCGGCCACAAGGTCCCTTGTGCGATTTTTCTGAATGCAAAATGTAGTTCCTTTATGAGGTAACCCGAACGCTTAATCATACGATTTTTGACAATTTTGCACATTTCGGAATATTACATTACACAAGTAATATTTCTTTAATGTTTTACTCGTACAAGGTATAAAATATTCGAAGTATCAACAGACGATTTACTAGGAGAAAGCTGTTTTCGCATTCCTTCAAGAGAGATTTTCTCCAAATGTGTAAAGTGGTTAGGCTACTTCAGCAAAGGTTATGCTAGACTTCTAATTTTCGTCGATACAGTAAATAGCATTCACAAAACGTATTCATTTCCACACTATTAATTATGATGATGCTTAATTCTATTACTTGAATTCCAACACAGGGGTAGCTTTTTATCTCGCCCTCCTCGGTGTCAAGAATTAGCAAGCGACAAGAAGTGGCCTCGAAATTGGGTCCGGAGACTTTATTTCCTCTCAACTTGGAAGATGAGTTCACACTGTCATTCCTTTTCACTAAAATGTTGTTGCTCTAATAAACACTACTTCTACACTTATACAAATATTTTATTATAATCACAAATTAAATTAACATTATACAAATTTTGTATTGAAATGAATTTAAAGAAGCTTATCGTTGTTTTATATAGAGAAGGAATCAATTGTTTAACTGCTCAAACATAGCAGACGTCTACTAAAATAGCGGACATTTGAATAACTTGTATGAGGAAACTATTTAAGAAGAAATATTACTTGTGTAATCAATTAGTCAGAAATGTGCACTATTTTAATAATAATAATAATAATAATAATAATAATAATAATAATAATAATAATAATAATAATCGCTCTAGATACCTCGTTACAAAGAATTTTTGATAATTTCTATGCTGGTTCAACGATCGTCTAAGAGCAGAGATGAATACAAAAGAGGTCGAAGAGAGGACTCTTGAGGTCGAAGGGAACTGAGAAGGCCACCGCTGCACGTGCCAAGCGGAACCGGAGACGGCGCGTAGCAAAGACCTGCGCTTGCGACTAGTGTATGCGACTAGTGTATGCGACTAGCGCATGCGACTAGAGCGTGCGATGGCGCTTCGCCAGCCTTCGAGGATGCGCCGCTGCGACGGTAGCAGATGGGCGCGAGTCGCCCGTCTACTTCTTAAACTACTACTTGCCTACTCCTTGTCTACTACTTACCACTACTCTACGCAACTTCCGGCACGTAATTACATTTTCAAAAGTAGAAAAGCAACGCAACGTCTTTCCATTTCAATATTATATTTCAGTTATTAAAATGTCTATTTTTGTCCAATAAATAGGAGAAAAGGCACATTTCGCTCTTTAATTACGTGAACATTTATATAAAACGTACGGGAATTACTTAATGTGTGTTAACTGAAAATGTCTTCTTTGCAGATTATTTGCATCTACGTATAGACATTGCAAATCTATATCGTATGTATGACCGATATCTGATTCAAAAATACGTCAGTAAAGTGGAAGGAGGTAGAAGGAACACGAGGAAAAGTATTGGCTGATTTTATAATAGTTATTGATTAAGAAGGAAGAAGAGATGATACCCCAAGTTCATTTCTTGAGTGTATTGGAAGTAATTGAAGCGACGACCGGCCATGAAGAGAAAGAGAGTGCAAGGGAAATGGAAGAGACGGGATAAAGAGGAATATGAAGGGAGATAAAAGGTTGGCTGTTACAGATTCCGGACGCGTCATCTACCAAGGTCATTATTCCTGTAAGTGTAGTGCAGGTTTATTCCTCTTGTAGTGGCGGTGATTTTCCCCCGCTGCACGACGAGATTCGGCACCGACCTACCGTCGGCTAGCGAGGTTTCCCTCAAGGTATCTCCCACCAGCAGGGCACCGCCCCAGCCGGAACAAGCTTTAAGCTCCCGACCGGTAAGAGACCAAAAAAAGGGGGAAGCGAAGCGACGTAACTGGCTTGAAGCCCGTTTCGTTTCGCGCACAGGTCTGTCCCTGAGATGTCCTCCACCGGGGCTGCCGCGAGGGCAGGTGCACAGCGTCAGGGCGCGCCTCGCTCCATCAGGCTCGGCGCTGCGAGCGCCGGATTTAACGCCCCGACCCGAGCGGGCAAGCACGACTCAGAGAGCGCGAATCGTTTATGGGAAGCGGACGATTACGAGCGCCCGCGTCAAAAATAATAAGCCTGCTCGCTCGCGGGTCGAGAGGCGAAATATGCGGATAACTAGCTCTCGCAGCGCCGATTGCTCTTAGGAAGAACATAAATGGCAAATGAAATCGGAGAACGGAGATGAAGCATTTTACGGGGCGACGTTACGAGCTGTGAGCTATAATAGGCGCAACGAATCCACGATGAGCACTGCCCCGGCGTTACACCTCCTTTTATTGATAATAGCATTGTTTACGGTGAGATTAACAACATGCTAATTTCAAGGCGCATAATACGCCTTGCACGAGCGAATGTATTGAGTGAGATGACTTCTTAACAATTGTGGGTAGAATATCTATTCCGATGCAGAAGAATGCGTGTATATCTCGTTGGAAAGATTTGAAATTATAAACAGAATGCTTTGATAGCTCTAAAGAGTAATGCATTATATTGTGACATCGAAAGTGGAAAAATGTATTACGCTATTATATTCTTTGCCGTCACTTGAAAATAAATGTGAAACGATAAATTTAATGACGAGTATGGGCCATGAGATACTTTTAGAACAACAGTAAAATTGATTTAGTTAAGTATATTTAATGTGACTAAATCTAATAATTTTGGCCCAAAAGAAAAGTGTGACATCTGAAACATGGACAATCTGTAGAGTAATTATGTTAATCTGGGCAGGATTCGTTCACTTCTGCGATCAAAGACAAAGTATAACTATTCCATATTAATTGTGAATTATTTTAGAAACGTATCAGTATTTTTATACACATTTCTTTGTTCAAACACATTAAAAGAAAAAACGATTTTTAGATGCATAATTTATTGTGCATCAATGTTATCTATATATTTTCACATAATTATTGATATCACTCTGTAATAAGTATTGTAACAGGTGACATTCCATGATACTAGTAATGTCGATATCCTTTATTAGACTGATGAGAGGCGTTCGCTATTTCAATTAGCTCATTGTATTATTTAGAGAAGTCATTGTTTCGCATTCTATGTTTAGGAGGTTCTTCATAACCTCACAAACGGATATCCCTTTGTTCAAATCCCCGACTAAAATTCCCACCTAAAAGTTAATAAGAAGGAAGTTTGTGTCGAACAGTGTTTGGACGCGGTAAGATTGTCGTAGCTTTTTTGGGCGACCGGAACGAGCTGATTCCGCTCGCAAACCCCCGATAGCAAGTGCATGCGTGCGTTGCAGACATCGACGAGTGCGCATCGGGCGGCGCGTGCGGCCTCAACGCCGCGTGCGTCAACGTGCCGGGCAACTACACGTGCGCGTGCCTGGAGGGCTACGTGGGCAACCCGTACGACGGCTGCGTGGACGTGGACGAGTGCGCGGAGGGCGGCGCGCTGGCGTGCGGCCCTGGCGCGCTGTGCAGCAACGAGGCCGGCGGGCGGCGCTGCGAGTGCCCGCCGGGCTTCGACGGAGACCCCTACGGCGCGGAGGGCTGCCACGACGCCGACGAGTGCGCGCGCAGCCCCTGCGGCCGCGACGCGCTCTGCACCAACATGGCCGGCAGCTTCCGCTGCTCCTGCCCGCACGGCTACGAGGGAGACCCGCTCACCGAGTGCAAGGGTGAGTGCTGCGGCTCTACACAACTTCTGCCTTGGGATGGAAGGGCTTGGCGACCGAAGTCATGGTTATGTGGCCCTCTTGGAGGGCTCTGGTCCACCGGTGTGGCCTGTTGCTTGTCGAGTCAGCCCATGGACAGTATTATCACAACATTGTATTGATGTTTGATAAGAAATTCTCCCATTTTGGGAATTTGATTTATGTTAAAATGGAAAAATTCTGATTTTATTAACTTCGAATTTCATGACCTTCTCTAACTTTAAGAATATTACCAAAAGTAATCTTTAAAAATAACATTTGCTTTATGTATATGACTTAATTCAGTGTTTAATTTTTAGTAATATTCGTACATCATCTAACAAAGTATTGTATTTTTCATGTACAAACAGTAAACATTTTTAAACAGGTACGCCTGATACGAGACGAGCCGTGCACCTGGCAGATGGAAATATAGTGTACTATATACAATACTTGGTATAACATAGTATCTTAGTAATAAAGACTTAGCGCAGTAAATATAAAGCCTACGAAACTTTTCATATACATTTGTAACTTTTGAAATTTCTCGAGCTTCCAGAGACACACAGAATATAGTATGGAATGTCTTGTTATTCTTCAGTTCCAACTCGAGTTTTACATATCTCATGTAATAAGTCATATCTCATTTTATAAGGAATATTAAGTAAATCTAAAATAAATATCTTGTTCAAAAATTATCATTAGCGTGCTATTACCAGAAACAATTACTCATAAATGTTAAACTCGTTGCAATTAACCTCTTTTCTCTCGAAATTGCCTTGTTTCTAAGTTTGCTCGATTCTTCAGATCGCCATCTTTGAATGTAGGCATGGCGAGAGGTCCGAGTTCACTTCGTTCGACGAAAATCTGTCGGAGAGTCTTCCTTCGCTGAGAGGCCTGAAGACAAAGCCCCTCCCCCGAGCGCTCAGGCGACGGGCTTCCGCGAATCGGGCGCGGGAAAACCGGCCCCGCGGCCGCCCGAGTGCAAAATCGCGCAGCAGATGCGTCACAAACCGACTTCCGCGAAGCACTTCGCTTGCAAAGGTTCGGCACAGGCGGTGGGCGTTGTTAAGGAATTCCTGCGTGAGACTGAATCATGCAGCACGCAAGAACAAATTACTTTTTTTTACTTTTATACAGATTAAATATTATCGAAAACGAAATATCTCAATAGCTATTTACATCGGAATACAATATTTTTAATAAATACTTAAAATTATAAAATACATTTCGCACACATTTACAATTTTCTAAATACATAAAATGAATTTATAATATTAAATCTATAATACATAACTGATTAAAAATTGCATAATTATTTGCGTAATATGTTTGATATAAAATGCGAATGAAGAATTTTACGAGCATTTCGTTCAGGCGCAATTTTTCTAAATACTTTATTTATTTAAAACCTTTTCAAAAACTTTGAAATACATGTTTCAAAAAAAATTGAAACCAGTGTTCCGTTCTTGCGAGAGCGTGAAGAGCGTTTTACAGAAACCCATATAAAGAGGTCATATTAGAATTTGGGCAGGGAAAGAGGAATTTATTCTGTTTACGATGAAAATTGATTAAAATAATTTCAAATTGACTTGTCCTTTCAGTGCTTTTGAGTTGATCCGTATTCAGTAGCATTGCAGCG